TCTGGTTAAGGTGGAAATCACAGACCTTAGTTACTTATTACAAGCCACAGGAGCCAGGATGGAACTAGCTTGGGCTGCTTAGTCTGGCAATTGCCGGTAAGCAAAGGCTAGCAATTCTGGCAGTTACTGATAAGAAAAGGTAAACAGCTTTACATAGTTTTGAAGACAAACTAACAGTTCTATTTACAGAGGCCAAGGACAATAGTTATTGTGAGGAGAATGGGGCAGCCATTTCAACTTATTTAAAAAACAGTTTTGCATTTTATAAAATAGTTTTGCTCCGGTTCTGGCTCTAGGCCAGCACAATATCACAGAGGCACCCAACAGTTTAATGAGAGAGTCAGGAATTGAACTCAGCCCCCTTTTGTCACCAGAATCCAAGCTCCTAACACTGTGTTGCCCTATTCCTCTTATAGGCTCTGGTTACTTAAACTTTGCTTATTTGTATTTCTGGGACTTCCCGTCCTAAATTTTCTGTTTCCCCAAAAGAACATAGAATATAAAATTTTACCACATCTGTGCATATGTTAAGCATCTAGTTTTATCTGTTAATTGCACGTTGGCCTTGTGTGGACCTTTGCCTGCCAGTCTTCAGATAGATTGAATGTGTGGAGAACGGTTACGATCTAGATTGCAGTATTGTCTTGTTATGTCTTTCATCATTCAGCACTCTTTATCTAAGCAGATTCCTCGCGAGTTTAGCAAGTGATCACAGAGCACATCATATTCCTGCACCAATCTTGGACAGTGCATGCTCTCAAACTTATAAGCTCCTATTTTCATTTTATAACCATGATCCTCTAGCCTCCCTTGCAAGCTTGGAAATAGAATAGGGCTACTTTTACTATTATCTAAAAGAACCAGCAGTTTACTGAATCATGTAATCTGATGCTTCACTATACTCAAGTTTAGGATCTCAAGTAAGGTTTAAATGGAACTTTTAGATAATTTTTCTAAATGCCAAGATGTCTAACTCATTTATTACCTAAGCGTACAAGAAGACTTTCTGGTTCTTGTTCTATCAACTTTTGGGGCAAGCCAATTGCTATATACATATACATATGTGTTTGTGTGTGTGTGTGTGTGTGTGTGTGTGTGTATACACACACACACATAAACACATATGTATATGTATATACACACAAACACATATATACACATATATTTATATANGGGCAGCCATTTCAACTTATCTAAAAACAGTTTTGCATTTTATAAAATAGTTTTGCTCTGGTTCTGGCTCTAGGCCAGCACAATATCACACATGTACACTGAATAGGAGATTACCATCCTAGCAGGGTGTGCTGCAACACCCCATAATTAAACGTATTAATAGTTATTCAGTGAAACTCACTCATGTAAACCCCAAGTAGGATAAATAAGCATTATAAATAGCCTCAGCTCAGAGTTTTCCTCCCGAAGAGTTGAGGTTAGGACGGGTCTTGCCTTCAAATAAGTTATGGAAGGCTTTCGAAAGTTTGTGGAATTCAGAATCACAGATAAAAGGTCGTAGATGGCTCTATAAATAAGAGAAGGGCAAGAAGTTTGGGACGCCCAGGGGTGGGAGAATGGCAAGAGGTACTTATGCACAGGGAGCAGAGAAAGCAAAACGCCCTGGATGAGACCCGGAAAGCAAACGGAAGTTTCTGTGTGTGTTTGTTTGACTGAGACAGGATCTTGCTTTGTTACCGAGGCTGGAGTGCAGTGGTGCGATCATGGCTCACTGCAGCCTCGCCCTCCGGGGCTCAAATGATCCTCCCACCTCAGCTTCCCGAGGAACTGGGACTATAGGCGTGCACCACAATGCATGGCTTTTGTTTTTATTTTATTTTATTTTTAGAGAGACGGGGTCTTGCTTCGTTGCCCAGGCTGGTCTCAAACTCTTGGGTTCAAATGGATCTCCCGCCTCAGGCTCCCAAAGTGTTGGGATTGCAAGCGTGAGCCACAGCGCCCAGCCAGTTTTTTACCCCCTGTCAGCCTAGCGCTCCGCCCCAGGAACTCAGTGAGCGCTTCTGGTAGGCCGGCCGGCGCTCGCGGAATCTGCGCACGCGCATGGCTGCCCCAGGGCACGCCGGTCACGTACCGAACCCTGCGGGTCGGCGGCGCGGTTGCCATGGCAGCGGGGTCGCGGGCTGGCGCGTGGGAAGGCCCCGAGGCTGCTGGCAGCCAGGGATGCCCGTGGAGCCCCAGACCCGGACGCTCGAGCCCGCAGCGCTGAGGGAAGACTGGGCGGCGCCGCCACCATGTTCCTGGGCACCGGGGAGCCAGCCTCGGAGACGGTAAGGACTGGCGGGCGGGCGTCCGCGAGGCCTGGTTTCGTCCCCGCCGCCCGCAGCCCCGGGGCCCCGCGCGGTGGCCAGCCCGGGGCGTGAAGACAAGGCGCAAGGCTGGGTGACAGCTGCCATTATTGTTACCGAACAAGAGTGCGCTGCAGGCCCCGCGCCGCCTGCAGCATCGTCCGCCCTCATAGAGGCTGCCGCTTCCAGGAAGCCCTCCGGGACTCCGCGCCCTCGCCGCTGGGCCCCTGCGAGTCTGCGGCCCGCGTGTGATCCGAGCTCACGGTATAAGTGCCTCCGGGCATCCTCGAACCGAGGCCGGATCCACGGATCAGGCGTGGCCCCGGGCGTCGGGGTGGGAGGGAGGCAGCCCCATGGTCTAGGACCACAGTTTGGTCAAAGGAGGCTTCCTGGAGGAGGGTGGTGACCTATATCCTTCCCAGTGCTAGGATGCACGGATCCTCGGTTCGTTCCTTTGTCTGGTGAATACCTACTGTGTGTTAGAGATGCGTGAATCAGCTGCATTCCAACGGGGGGCGGAGGGACAAGGCAATAGACAGGTAATTAAGATCGTGTCAGAAAGTGAGAGGTGCTGTGCAGAAAATGAAAGAGGCCCATGTAGCCGGGAGCCTTGGCTCAGGCCGGTAGTCCCTGCACTTTGGGAAGCCGAGGTGGAGGATCGCTTGAGGCCAAGAGTTCCAGACCACCCTGGGCAACATAGCAAGACCCTATCACTACAAAAAAA